TGAGTGCTGGGATTCGAACCCGGGTCTTTGGCAAGAACAGCTAATGTTCTTAACCGCTGAGCCATCTCTCCAGCCCCCATAATGGAAATTTTTCAGCTCAATTATAAACTCATGAGATCACCACTACTGACCAAAATGTCACTATTAAATATATGAATGCGACATAAAGAAATAAGAGATAAAGCTAAATCTTCCCATCTAGACGGTATTCATTCACAAGGTCCCTGTAAATCCTTTCTCCTTTCTCATAGTTGAGTATCCTTTAGACTTTGCAGCTCATTATCACTGAGGACTTTCCCTTTTCTTCTTCCCTCCTACCTATCGGTATTCAAGACTAAATTAAAAAACACTACAATATTAATTTTCAGCATTTGTGTTTTATGTATTTAATCTATTTGTTGTAAATATATGTATCTTTGAAGAAAATTACCTCATATATGGCTGATAAAGATAGGAGAATATTAATATAAAAGAAGTTACATAAATTCAAAAGGAATTTTTCTACACATATTAATGTCTAATGTGATGAAAGCTTTCTCACTCAATGGACAAATATGTGACATTAAAGAGAAAGTCTTGGAACTACATGAAGATCACAAGAACAAAAGCTGAATACCCAGAGAACTACCTTCCTTTAAGTATGTGCATTAAAACATTGCTATATTTACTACTATACTCTCTGTCAAAACAATGAATGTATATGATAAAGTGACAAAAATTCTCCATATGAAAATAATGGACTGATGAAGAAGAGTAAGATCTGAATCTGACTTTAAGTTTTCATAAAAAATAGTCCCCATTAGAAATGAATGCCTTTTAGGATCTATAACTCAAAGAAGGAAGTGTAAAATCCAATGACTAAGACACCAATTCACTGTGGTACTAAATATTACAAATGCCTTTCACGAGTCAACTACACTATGTTTAGTTTTTTAAGACAGGGTCTCCCTGGAGCCCCAGCTGGCCTAGAACTCCCTATGTAGACCAGGCTGGCTTAGAACTCAGAGATCTGCCTGCCTCTACCGCCCAAGTGCTGAGATTAAAGGCATGCACCACCACACCCAGCTTTATTAGCATTATTATACCAACTTTTATTAATATCTACTTATAAAGTGCATAGACTTAGCATCTCTGGCCCTCTATTATTCTCAAAGGTCATATTGTATGTAGTGAGCAATTCTGTAGAACTTAGATGATTTTCAGGAACACATGTATGGCATAGTAACACAGCCTCTAACTGTACACAGTATCACTATGAAAGCAGTTTATAATATTCTGCGTAAATAAAAAAGAAAGAAAACCAGCTCAATTTTTTGTCATAGTAGAGAAACAAGAATTTTAAAAGTACTTTTAATATAGTAATTTAGCTCACTGATAGAGTGCTTACCAAAAATGCACAAGGACCTGGGTCTAACCCCTAGCCACAGAAGAAAAATTATATATAAAAACCTACTCTGTCATCTGGTTAGAGACCCTATACTTTATTTTAAATACCTATTCTTTATTGACAGAGTACTATGATACTTGAGCTAGCTACTGAAAACTGAAGATACTAAAGAAAAAGCAGCACCATCTAAAAGATACGACTCACCTTTGGTGCTTTTAGGAATGATTTGACTCCATCGTGGCTTATATTCCTGCTGACTGATATACTGATTGAACAAGCCATCTGTAAATATCGAAAAATAGTAAGAATTATCTATCAGTCAGCTCTTCAATGTCCCATTATGCTACTCAAATAGAAATACTGAATTATTAGTTGACACAACCACATAAACAAATTGCATCAGGACAGCTTACATTATTAAGCTTATATTCCCATTACTACTGAATCTATTACCTACAAAGTCAATACTGCACTCAATGGACAAGTATGTGACTTTAATAAAGACCCTAAAAGAAGGAAAGGGCAAGGAAGCAAAAGGAAGACAACAATCTAAGGCTGTAAAACAAGAGCAGCAGAAAATAATATAGGACTACTCTGAATATATGTTCTTTTTCACTGAAACAAGTCATATACATCTTTGTAAAACACCACTTCTAGCACCAGTATAAATACAAATGGGAAAAGGAGGAATAATTAAAGCTTTGGAGATAATTCTCCAAATCTGCTTTCTGGTGATCTCTTACCAACACTCTCTATTTTAACTAGCACTTTTTAAATCTTTACCTGTTATAATGAATAGATTCCTGAATTACAATCTCTTCTAACAAAGAATATTTATTGTCCACATATTTTGTTACTAGAATACAAGAAAACTAAAGAAGGGAACAGGAATGTCAACAGCTTTGGTCTAGGCACTTTATAGTACACCTCAGAAAAAAATAAAACCCATTAAAATAAAAATTCCACTATTATATAGTTTTTGTTTCTGGGTACAAAACTATACAGAGATAAAAACACCAACAACCACAACAGAACTGTATTTATTGAATACTTGCCAAATATTAAAGTCTGCTTTGTCTTAACTCATTTAATTCTAAAAACAATCCTAATTGGAGCTGGGATTCCAACTCCACTTTGCTTTTCTTCTGAATTCAATAAATTAATAAATTTTCACATATATCTTAGAGAAATTGCTATACTGGTCACTATAACTATATGGAGACTGAACTTCACACACATACCCACTCTATTCTAAAGCATTATCATGCCCTATACCCATATCTCTCAAAAAAGTTTACGAATGAAAGAAAATCCAATTCTGGATAACAAAACAAGAGGAATTTTGAAGGCTTTCTAAACAATGTTTCCTTGCTTTTAAACAGACATAAAGAGAAGCAAAATTTATACTTTTATTACTCTGGACACATTTTTCATATTCATATGCAATGTACAAAACTGCTAAAGCCATTTTGTAGAGATATGGCTGTCAATTCAGTAATGATGACACAACACACAGAGAGAAATGAGATCACTAAATCATCCAAGCAGGAAAGCCACCTCACCTTTGGACTTCTTGTTATGTCATGCTGTAACATTTTCTTACTAGAGTTTCTTTTTTATGTGCCCAAACAGGTGATATGTAGCCCACTCTTTTATGAATTCTGTCCTTTGACCCTGATTTCAATATGAGGATTTTCCATGACTCATACACATAAAATAAAAATTAATAATAATAAAAAAATGTTGAGACACACATGTAAAACAGTGAAGAAAGAAAATCAATAAAGATTTGGGTAAAATTCAAGAACACTGTATAAAATAAAGTAATATTTACAGGGGCTTTGCATCATCATAAATGAAAATGAGTATGTATGAGTTATGAAGGTGAACATGTAAAACTGAAGGTCCACTGACAATCCTTGCATTGGAAGACAATGAAGGTATTGACCAATTGTATTATGTGCTTATTATTTTTATTTTTATTTATTTATTTTATTTTTATTTTATATGTATGTGTGTATTGCCTGCATGTAGGTAAGTGTACCCATGTTGTGCAATGCCCTCAGAGGACAGAAGAGGCTGTTGGATCCACCTGGGTCTTCTGCAAGAACAGCCAGTGTCCTTAACCACTGAGCCATCTCTCCAGACCTTGTTGTAATTTTTTTAATAAAGCATATGCACAAATATGCATATACATATCACACACAAAATGAATTAATAAAAATGAAATAAAATTAATAAGAGTTACTTCTTTAAAACAGGATAAAAAATGATTGAAACTAGGGGCTGGAGAGATGGTTCAGAGGTTAAAAGCACTGGCTGCTTACTGGCTGCTCTTGCAGAGGACCTGGATTCAGTTCGTAGCACTCACAAGCTGGCTTACAACTGTCCAAAACTACAGTTCCAGGGGGATCTCACATCTTCTTCTAACCTCTGTGGGCAGTGCATGCACACGGTGCACCTATCTACAAACATACATGTAGGCAAAACACTCATACACATAAAAATAAAAAGGTTTTTAAAAGGCTGAAATTAAAACACTGAGAGGGGACTGGGTATCATAGCTTAGTTGAGAGTGCTTTTAACGTACACAAAGCCCCCTGGCTTCAATCCCCAGCATCACATAAAATTGGGCATGGTAGCATATACCCATTATCTTAGCACTTGGGAAGTAGAGGCAAGGGGATCAGAAGTTCAAAGTCATCCCCAGCTACACAGCAAGATGCAGGCTAGCCTGGCTAGATAAGAATCTTATAAAAAGTTAAGTCAATAAATAAATTTTAAAAATTTAAATTGAAAACATACCATGCAAATACTAAATGAAAATGGGTAAGAAATTCATAGTAAAATTTAAATAAGAGATTTAAAATATGTAACTAAAAACATGGCAATAAAATATAGGGAAAAAAGCAAACATACAATACAAAATTAAATAGAATGTATTAAGATACACATTTCTCAGTGACTGAATCAAACAGAAACCACTGATAAACAATTTTTGGAAAGTGATCAACACACTTGACCTCCTGTACATATATAGAACACTGATCAATAACTAAAAACCTATATGCCACTCAAGTACGTATTTTCATAAAAACTGAACAAACCTGGCCATACAGCAAAACTCACTAACTCTGAAAAGAACTGGAAATCATGCAGCAAATGTGCAATTCCACTAGAATCAGGAACAAAAAAAATAACTAGAAAGTTTTCCATATTTATAATTAAGATACATTTCTATAAGACTGGAGCTTACAGGCTAGAGAGATGGCTCAGCAGTTAAGAGCACTGACTGCTCTTGCAAAGGACCGGGTTCAATTCCCAGCACCCACATGGCAGTTATGAACTGTCCTTAACCCCAGTTCCAGTGAAATCTGAAGCCCTCTTCTGACCTCCACGGCATTACATGACATGGGTGCACTCACTTACATGCAGGCAATACACTCATACACATACAATAAAAATAATAAAATATTTTTAAAAAGACTAGAGTTTACACAAGAGCCATTTCATTCCATAATGAAAACACAGTGAACTGGAAAAAAAATGTATATAGATGTAATTTTATTTCCCTAATGCAGGTGAGAAAAATTTCAAAATCTAAAGATTAACTAGCTAAGCATTCACCTCAAGAAGATGTTATAGAAATAGAAAATTAATCCCAAAGACTGAAAGAGGTAATGGTAAACAGAGCACAGAAAATAACAAAGAAGATCAACAAGCCAAAAGTTAGTTCACAAAAGCCTAGCAAACTAAATAAATTTCTGGTGACAGTGATGGGTAAAGAATTCACAACAGGATGCTGGGCACGGTGCATACACCTTCAATTCCAGCACTTGGGAGGCAGAGGCAGGCAGATCTCTGTGAGTTCCAGGCCAGCTGGGGCTACCAGGAAACCCTGTCTCAAAAAAAAAAAGAATTCACAACAAGGGCTGAAGAGATGGCTCAGCAGTCAAGAGCACTGGCTGCTCTTGCAGAGGACCCAAGTTCAGTTCCCAGCACCTACATGACAGCTAATAACAATTGGTAAATCCAGTTCCAGGGGATCCTGTGCCACCTTCTGATCTCCATGGGCACTGCACAACATGGGTGCACTTACATACGTGCAGGCGATACATACAAAAACATAAAATAAAAATATTTAAAAAATAAAAGGTAATTGATAACTAACCAATATAAAAAAAGGAAAAAAATATCCTAGGAAATCCTGTAAACAGTAAATAGTTAATAAGATATTAAGTACATGTTAATATCTATAAGTTTTAAAATTTACATGTAATGGGCAATTTTTAAAAACGATATAAACCAAACAACCCTGATTAGTACTACACTTCATACATAAAAAGTCTAATAGGTGAAAACTTATCAAGTAAATTTGGAGTACAAGTTTCTGAACTGGTAAATTTTTTCAGGTAATCAGCAAAGAAATAATTCAAATCTTAACACCCAAGAAGGAACAATTAACTTCTGATTTCATTATATGAAATTAAAGGATACTAAATCATAAAGAAAGGAAGGAAAATTATATGATCTTTTTAATAAAAATAGCTGAAAGGATGCTAGATAAACATTAATCAATCTAAATCTAAAATAGATCAAAAGAAATACAAGACAAAATAGATCAGGAAAATGAGAAGTTAGCTTAAAATCAGAAAACTAATCACTGTGATTTCACACACTAAAACTCCAAATCAAATATAACACAGAATAGTATATATGATGGTAACTATAGTTTCTGTAGACATTTCTTCATCAGGAACAGGTAATGTTCTTCTGCTCTTTTTTGAGGTGATGATGAAAGGACTTGTTCTTGGGTGTATGAACTACACCAGGATATACCCTATCACTCAGCCTCAGCCTTGTGCTAGATACTTCAGCTCTAAGACTGAATACAAAGGAAAAAGGAAAGGCAGCTAGAAAGAAAGACAGAAGGCTCTTGATACTTAAGTATAAATTGAACAAAAATGAAAACACAATCTAACAAAATTGTGAGATACAATGAAAGCAAAAAAGGAAAACTTTAACATAAAATGCCTACATTAAAGGATATCAAACCCGTGGCTTCAACATTCATGTTAAGAAACTAGGAAAGGGGGGCTAGAGAGATGGTTCAGTGGTTAAAAGCACTGGCTGCTCTTGCAGAGGACCTGGTTCCAATGTCTACCACCCACACGGCAGCTAACAACTGTCCTTAATTCCAGGGCATCCAACACCCTCTTCTGACTTCCGTGGGCACTGCACGACATGGATGCACTTACATACACGCAGGCAATACACTCATA